AGTCGCTAGTTATCATACCCGATATAGCTAGCTAACTCAATAAAAGTGGTACGGATAGCTAGCTATCACAAGCCGATATTGCCCCATAACATATTTTTATATCTAGATATTCTCAAAGGCATTTTTTTGCTTGGGTTCTTCCTGCACAATATCGACAGCGATATGCCGGTACCCCGATCCAATTCTATCTCTAACTTCATGTGCGGGGAGAAGGTTTCTTGCAACTGTCTAAGAGAAAACAGTTTTCAAACAAAAACCTGTCAGGAAGCATTCGTCATCTATTATATGCATATCAAGACCCTATCCCAAGCTGAAGATGATGTTCTGATTAATGAGCATCGACTTCTAAGGAACTATCTTAAATTCTCACCTGTGCCCCTTGACAGCTTGAATGGAGATTTTTGTCCGTCTTACATCGGGATGGTAGGCTGGAAAATGCTTTTGATAGATGGTCAAGGTCTTTTGTAGGTAAGTTAAAGATTGTTCGTGGTTACCCATTTCGGCATAGATACAACCAAAACCTTCGTAAGATGAGGCTACCCGCCAATGGTCAGATGGAAATGATGCAAGTCTCATCTCAAGTCCACGTTTACAATGAGTCAAAGCCAAGTCAAACTGTTCTAGATGTGTATGAACAATGGCTATATTGTGATAAGATGTGCCCAATTGTTCGTGATTTGCAGGAAGAATAGCTTCCTGAATTATCAGTGCATCTTGATGATAGAGGAGGGCACGTTCGTACATCTTTTGCTGTTCATAAACTGAAGCCAAGTTGGTAAAACAAGCGGCCACATGTTCATTTTCGTCGCCAAATAACTGCTTGAACATACTCAGAGCTTGTGTATAAGCTTCTATAGCCAGATGTTTTTTACCCTTTTGATCATAAGTTATACCAAGATTAAGGTAACTGGCTGCAATCGATGGATGATCGTGAGCAAGCGTTCGGGACCAAATATCAAGTGCTTTTTTATGCTCGACAATGGCATTGTCATATTCTCCTTGCTCGGCTGCCAGGCCACCGAGTGCCTGAAAGCAGTAAGGTACATTCGGATCATCGGCAGGTAATTCACGCAGAAGTCGACGATAAAAATGTTCGGCTTCATCGAACTTGCCTGATTTGCATAAAACATCACCTAATGTTAGTAGATCGTTTTCTGTCCCTATTTCTTTTCTCATACATTCGAGCAACTTTGTTAGATTTTTCTCTCCCAAATCGCTACCAGTAACTAGATAAATAATACAAACATTATTTTCATCATAAATGCGCTCAAGGCGAAATATCGTTCCGAATGCAAACAGAATTTCACTTTCCGTTGGTATATGACTCTTGGCCCGTATATCGGCAAACGGTCGCAAAGGATCGACTCCAGGATGGGCATCAATTTCAAAGAGGACGGCTTTTAAATTGCTTCCAGGAACTGTTAAACTTTCAACCAAGAACAAAGTCAGTTCTCGATCGGTGCTTGTTGAAAGAAAAGAATTCATCGAAATGAGATTGCCTATTGAATTACGAAAAAAATCGAGTTCTTCATTTGACAACAATTGGCCTCGATAAACGCGGCGAGTGCTTTGTGAATTGTTTGCAGCTTGCTCATGTTGAAGTTCAACGAGTCCATGATAAATATCTCGAATGAAGAAACGTGTGACGAAGAGCAATTCGATATTTTGTACACGCAGAGCCTTATTGAGAAGACGATAGAACATCGATTCACGACTGTACCACCACAGGGCTCGCTCTCTGCAATAGGTTTGCTTGAACTGCTCGATAATTCTGAGTTCGGCCGCATTTCCTTCATAAGCTTGTTGACAATAGTCGACAAACTCTAATATATCTAGTGACGGGTACAACGACGGCATTCGATGAAGAACGCCCATCAATAGTTGAGAATGAAGAAACGTTCCGTTCAGATCGGTTGATGACTGATCCGGACGATGGCCCATTTCGAGAATGTTCATTGACACATATTCTTCGATTCGTTCATACCGATAGATATCGCTTTTGATACGTGCCAAAAGCGAATCCAAATCAAAAAATGGACCTTTAACCTAAAACAGAAATAGGATAAGATTAAAACCATGAACTCTGCAGCTTTCCGCTCTGTCAAGTGGAAACTCACTGAGATTCGGGTGAAACATTTAGTTTTTCGTATTGATACGTTTCCAATGGGAAGTATTAGGTCCTGTAAAAAGCATCTAGAGAGCTAAATTTTATAGTCCGAATACATTATGCAGCTAGTTATTTATGCCAACAAGAGCACGAACGACAGGCTTGGACCTTAACGAGGTCTCTAAGACCCCTGTAGAGAACAAGACCAACTTGTTTCTAATTTTGATTCATATATTCGATAGCGAAACTGTCTTGTCTTTTCGATAAGAGTCTCTCGTTCTTATCGAGTAATAAACTTTTCAGGCTGCACGTCCTCAATGCAAGGTTTTGACTACAGTTTATTTTGACAGTCAGATTTTCTAATCAAAAACGTATATACTGGAAAGCCAAACGATCCCATTTTTGTACAGAATTAGACCTCTACAGTTCTAAATCACCAGTACTTCGATCGGCTTTGGTGAAAAATGCGTGCATATCAATTTAAAGAATTCCGCCCAATGGTAAGTATGGACCCATGAAAGAGGATAGAAATGGCCCAGGCCGAAATAGTTTTATGCGTAGAAAACGGATATTGTAGTACTATCCGAGTTAGCTTTTGTTGAAAATGAGCAGAAAATCTGTCTGTGTCGCCAGAAGGAACAAAAATCTCAGTGCATCAACAGTCGAAAACACAACAGGACCTTCTCATATGCAATAAGGAATGGATCTACATACATTCGAAAACGTTTTGGAAGATTCGTCATTGTTGTCTACACTATCCGAAGTGTTCAAAATATAGACAGAATAAAATTTGCGAAGATCATGTAGGTGATTGACAAGAGTTTTAATTTGGCTTGCGTTTACATCCGCCAATACAAGCATAATACGTTCATTTTTTATACGTTGGATGTAGGTTTGACACTCTTGAACATCGGTAAATATTTTCGAATATTTGATATTCGAATTAATATGATCTCGTAATGTTGTGACTGGAACCTGTTTTTTACCGCTGTCTCTGTCTTGATTAGTAGATGAAAAGCCCGAAAACCAAACGAGAGAAATTAATTTTTGTTCACCAATTATGGTAGTAAGAGCAGCACCCATTTTGTTGGCTTTCAACGGATGCAACAACCAATGCACAGGGACAAAACATGCAATAAAATTCGAAACATCGTTCTGTATTTCTGTCCTCTCGTCAAACAGAGGAGGAAGCTTTTTTTCGCTGAAATTCTCTGTTGATTTTTTGTGACACTTGAATGAAAGAAATTGAAGCATGTATAGAAGATGAGGTGAAGAACGACGAAAGTATGAAAATGGTAAGAAGAACAAAAATAGGCAAAGAAACATTAGCATGAAAAAATCGCACCAGTGTTTTGTTTTACATATTTGCAAATAGAGAAAAAGGATCACCCTTTTCGGAATGATATTTTTAATCTGATATATAGTTTTTAGAAATGAGCAATCAAAGTCCGAACCTGTTCCCACACTATTTCTACACATTCTCTGCACGAGTCCATTTCTAACATATGGCCTGCGTGTGTTCTTCAATTGCGTAATAAAGTAAACAATTTAAATGTTTTAGATCGATCACGAACAATATAACTGAAATTAGTTTTTCAACTGCAATTATGATTTATCACTGCTGTACATATTTTTGGATGAGATGAGAACTAGAATATGGGTCGCGATGAGACTAACAATATAATCGATGATTAGTATTCTTTTGGATGTATTTTTGAAGTAAACATCATTGCTTCGTGCAATCAGGATCGTGGGTAGAATGACTCGAAATGAGATACAATGGAAAATCTTTCAAGTTCAGAAAAAGAAACATTGCGTAATATCGATCTGGTTTAACTAGGAGTGTTAGTTTACTTTCATTAATAATAATGGATAAATATAATACGCACAGACTTTCGTTAAAAATGGGTGAGAGTGGTAGAAAGAAGGAAGACCTCTTTTTTTTGTGACGCTAACGATGATCAAGAATCTTAATCTGCTTCTGTAGGCAAACCTCTTCCCTGGGACTAGAGAATAATAAGGTTCAAGTTTAACCCTTCCTTTTCTTCTTTATTGTCTAATAGTGTCGAACTAAGACGTTTTGAACTTTTGCAGGTATCCGTCCCATTTACTTTTGAGTCTATCTACTTAGTGCTTCATTATGAAACTCACAAAGTAAAAGTAAGATTTTCCTTATTTTACTTCTACATGATAGCTACTTAAATTCATTAGAACGTTATGAGTATTGGTCACTCATTTAGCAACAGAATTTACTGAATAGTACTAATTCTCATTCACTCAAACATTATGACTCTCGCCATGGGGATATTTTCTCCGGCCTAGGAGCCCAATGCCATCCCCATTTGAAGTTGGCTAAGCGAAAGGCTGGCGATTCTATTAATTATCCACCCCCAATAGGAAAAAATAGGGAAAACTTGGTGAAACCAAGAAAATCCAAGAAGTGCTTAGGTCAATTCAAAGTAATCTGCATTTCAGAACTTTCTGGAGTTGATTGACCTACCCGATACTATACATGAGCTCTTTCTCTAATGAACTTATCAAGACTGATAGTAATAAGATTATATAGAGGTATCATACAACGAGTGTCAAGGATTTCGCACTGGGGGAGTTCGGCAGTCCTTGGGATAGCTTTAGGGAATTATTCCTTAGCCTCAAAATCCTCAGATTCCCTTTAGGAAGAACAATCATTAGCCAACTGGGTGCTTAATGGTATACTTTTTCCAAATAAATGGAAAGTATGTCATTTTATATAATACATTTAACAAATAAATAATAACAAATAAATTTATTTCTGGAGTATTATGATAATCAGAAAGATATGAAATAGTTCAAAGGAAATTGTAGGATGTCACTTGCACATGATATGTCATTGCCTCCATTAATTTGTTAGTGGTAGTTTTCGACAAGAACATTTATCGGGTTAACCCAAGTATCAAAAAAAAATCTAGTATCGCCCGATTCATCTAGATTACTAGATTTTTATTCGATTGCAACTACTGTGTAACGACAGTGGAAATCTAGTAACTGGGCGATTACTAGATTTTTTCTAGTTGCAGCTATCGATTTATCGCCCGATAATCGATCGATTTAACTATTGCTAGATGCACCTGCGGACGCATCTAGTTACAAGTCCTTTTTCCAACTAGTATTCTAGATGGCAACTAGTCGTGTATCGCCCGATTATAGACGAAATTTATCTAGATCTTTCTCATAGGTGATGTTTGCTTAGGTGAAAACCTGCTAGGTATCGAAAATTATGAATTTTTGTCGGTGTTGGTTGAACACGGGTTACTATTACGCGATGACATGTCCCCTCAAGTTCTCGGTCATTATCCTAGGTACAGAAGAAAAACAATTTCAACACACATTATACATTGAACACCATACCCACTAAATAAATACCAACATTAGTTGTAAATTATTTGTAATAGTTAATTATTACTATTAGATTTCCAACTCAAATCGTTAGGAGCATAAATCAGATAGAAATTACATGTAATGATGACCATACTTAAGAGAGACTTCGCGACTCAATTGAACACTGCTTCTGAGACCAGCGGAATGGTCAAAATTAATCTATATTTTTTTTTCATATTTTTGGATTCTATGATCCAAAGTGGGGTTATGAAAAAATTTGTTGCCCTTTCGAACTTAATTTGACTGAGTAATAGAATTTACAAAATGAGCACTAAAAAGGATTCTGAAAAAGCGTCCTGCTCAGCATTTTGTTTATAACTTCGTCAAGTTTTGTCCGTTCTGTTCGAGTAAAATCTCATTCATAAGCCCGATAAAAGCTGAAGTGGATGGCTCGTTTAGTTTTGATGCATAATTCAGTTTTCGTAAAAAAAATTGAGTTTACCGAAATTTTCCATTTTTTAAAACACCATTAATTTTGATTTAAAATGCAAAAGATAATTTAAAAATAAAAGTTTCTGAACATGGCGAAATTTAGAAAACCATGACAGATGCACTACTTTTTACCACATTAATTAATGCAGACAAAATCATGTTTTTTTCGTCCGAATACTTTCTGAATAAAATTCTGGCTTAAGTGTAAAACGAGATGCACTTTTGATAGACATTCAGGTGTGGACTATCCGAATCCGGACTCAAAAGTTTGGCGTCCAGTAAGGATCTCTGGAAAACCTTTGGGGTTTCCAGAAACCCCTTAAGTTTACTAAAAAAGTTTTTTAAATTACATAATTGGAAGGAGCATAAAATTCTGAACAAAATGAGTATATTGCTCATAATTTTAGCAATTACCTTAAACAGGTGAAAAAATAACAGATGTTCAAGCAAAAATGGTTTACTAAGTTATAAAAACCTAATTTTTAGGTTGCGAATTTAAGATTTAGAAAGTATGAGCAATACCTCATTTTGTTCAGAAGATACAACTAATGCACCTTGCACATCGATTCATCCAGAGGGAGTGTCTATTATGGGGGGCGGGAAGGTGGGGGGGATTATGCACTCTTTCCAATGGTATGATTTACAAATTGAAAGATGTTTTTATCAGGGTTTTTCAGAGATTCGGTCTCTGGAAAGCCCGATTAAAAGTGTTTTTGTACTGTGCGGATCACACCATTGGAAAGAATGCATACGAAAACCTGTGAAAGTAGTTTTCGCAGGCTTTGAAACCGCTTCTAAATCAAAAATCCTAGTGCCTAGCCAAAAATGCTACAGGAATGCCGCAAACCTGTCATTTCATTGAATGAAACGATTTTTTGAGCATGAAAACATAGAACTGATATATCATTCGATGCAGTTTGCACGCTGATTCCAAATCTGTCATGAGTTTCGCGAAAAACTACTTTCGAAGCGAGAAAGTCGTCTTCAACGTCGTCTTCAAACGTACCTCACTCATCAAATCTATTTTTCCCTATAACAGAATACGTTTGAAATTATATAATTATAGAAGGTAGAAGTATTTTAATCACTCTTTCAAATGGGGTATGGTAAATTATGCTTTGGTCTCCTTTTCGAGCCGAACTTTGCAAGTTTTTCATAAGTTTCAACAAACAGGTAATTTAATTTAATTAATAATTTTCAGATGCCAGACGAATTTTGCTCCTTTTTCTAAAACACGTTTTCTGGAACAGTATGCAATTGTCTACAAATTCACATCAGTTTTAACCTTTACTAACATGTTTAGAGTCCCGAATAACGAAGCTTTCTCCATGTCCCATGTTTCCCATGCAAAGTAGTGCTTTCTATCAAAACTAAGACTCATAGTGCACTTTATTTACCGTTAAAGAATCACTGAGAAACTTCTTAAAGTAGGGGATCGATATTTGTTTGCACGGGCTATTTTCTGATCTATTTGGTTACCGACAAAACGTTTTTCTTCAGACTCTAAAAACAAAAGTAAGAAAAAAGTATGTTGGAAGAGCCTTTTAGCGACGTTTGGTATCGCCCTTTTTGCTTCCTCAAAGCCAATCCCAAAAGTTTTATTTCCTATATTTTTGAAGTTCAGGCGTTGCTCTTTCAATCAGAAAAAGAACGAACTTTCTACGATGTTCCTGAGCAGAGAACTATGGCTGGAGATTTCGGCAATTACTTTTGCACCGCAGGTTACGTATAATTGCAACCACTAGAAGGGAATCGTGACAAATGCAAAATTTAGAAGAATAAAATGATATTTCAGCAGAACAATGATCCAAAGTATATTACATGCATTGCGACAGGGGAGGTCGATGAAAAAGGTGTTGGGAGATAGACTAGAGAACTTGAGAAATTTGGCGAAAACCGTAGCCATCAACCTCATTAACTTTGAGATCTAAACAAGAGAAACGTTTTGAGTTTAATATTTGTGTTCGTGCAGCTGTTGAATTTCGACTGAGACCAACATAATGTACTCCATCAATTTTTTTTCCTCGCAAAATTCAAAACCACATTATGTAATTTATGCTCTATCGATTTCAAGACTGTTTTTGCTGCTGCACTTCTCAACGACAATTACTTTCTGACAATTTTAATTAATTGGCTTCTACCCACGACAAAGAATTCTGTTATTGGTAGAAATGGAGTCCAGTTTTTCTAGATATTTTTATGATAAAGGCGTCTATGTTTATATGGCCATTCAC